TTGTTGAGGGACAACTAGATTATTTCCAATTTCTTGATATTATGAATAGAGCAGCAATGAATATGGTTGAGCAAGTGTCTCTGTGGTAGGGTGAAGCATTTTCCAGATATATTCCCAAGAGTGGTATAGCTGGATCTTGAGGTAGATCAATTCCCATCTTCCTGAGGAACCACCACACTAATTTTCATAGTGGCTGTGTAAGTTTGCACTCCCACCAGCTCCATCTGGTCAGGGGCCCTGGGTCCTCTCCATGCATGGTCCTTGGTTTGTGCATCAGTCCCTTCAGGCCCTCTGGGCCTAGATTTGTTGGCTCTGTTCTTCTTGTGGAGCTTCTGTCCTCTCCGGGACTTTCTACCCCATATTCTTCCCTAAAACTCCCTGTGCTCTGCCCAAAGTTTGGCTGTGAGTCTCAGCATCTACTCTGATCCCCTGATGGGTGGAGTATTTCAGAGGACATCTATGGAAGGCTCTCTCTTCAACCACATCTAGTGTCTATTCTATTTGCCTTTCTGAATGAATATTTTTTGTTTATTATCTATTACAATTTATTAACTTTGTATCCCTGCTGTAGACGCATCCCTCATCTCTTTCCAGTCCCACACTCCCTCCCTTTTCTCCCCCATGCCCTTTCCCTAGTCCACTGATAGGGGAGGTCCACCTCCCCTTTTATCTGACTCTAGCCTATCAGGATCAGGATTGGCTGCATTGCCTTTTTCTGTGGCCTGGCAAGGCTGAATCATCCAGGGGGAGCTGATCAAGGAGCCCATTACTGATTTCATACCAGAGACAGCCCTTGCTCTCCTTACTAGGAAACCCACTTGGAGACTGAGATGATTATGGGCTACATCTGAGCAGAGGTTCTAGGTTCTCTCCATGCATGATCCTTGGTTGGAGTACCAGTCTCTGCAGGTACCCCTGGGCCCAGATTTTTGGGTTCTGTTGGTCTCCTTGTGGAGCTCCTGTCCCCGCCAGATTGTTCTATCTCCCCTTTCTTTCATAAGATTCCCTGCACTCTGCCCAAAGTTTGGCTATGGGTCTCAGCATCTGCTTCTATGCCCTGATCAGTAGAGTCTTTCAGAAGCCATCTGTGGTAAGCTCCTGTCCTGTTTCCTGTCTTCTCCCACTTCCAATGTCTATCCCATTTGGCTTTCTGAATGAGAATTGAGCATCTTCCCTAGGGTCCTCCTCCTTGTTTAGCTTCTTTAAGAGTACAAATTTTAGTATGTTTATCCTATATTATATGTCTAATATCCACTTATAAGTGAGTATATACCAGGTGTGTCTTTCTGCTTCTGAGTTACCTCACTCAGGATGATCTTTTCTAGATCCATCCATTTCCCTGCAAATTTCATGATTTCCTTGTTTTAATTGCTGGGTAGTGTTCCGTTGTGTAAATGTACCACAATTTCTGTAACCATTCCTCAGTTGCAGGACATCTAGGTTGTTTCCAGATTCTGGCTATTATGAATACAACTGTTATGAACATGGTTGAGCCAATGCTCTTCTTGCAGACTTGAGCATGTTTTGGATATATATCTAGGAACAGTATAGCTGGATCTCAAGGTAGCACTATTCCTAATTTTCTGAGAAAGTGCCAGATTGATTTTCAAAGTGGTTGTACAAGTTTACATTCCCACCAGCAATGGAGGAGGGTTCCCCTTTCTCTACATCCTCTCCAGCATGTGTTGTCACTTGAGTTCTTGATCTTAGCCATTCTGATGGGTGTAAGGTGAAATCTCAGGGTCATTTTGATTTGCATTTCCCTAATGACGAAGAACGTTGAGTGTTTCTTTAAGTGTTTCTCTGCCATTCAATATTCCTCTATTGAGAATTCTCTGTTTAGCTCTGTAACCCATTTTTTTTTATTAATTACACTTTATTCACTAAAATCCCCCTGTGGTTCTCTTCCTCTTCCCGTCCCAATTGCTCCCTTCCTCCACCCTCTGCATGCATGCCCCTCCCCAAGTCCACTGATAGGGGAGGACTTCTTTTCCTTCCTTCTGATCCTAGTCAATTAGGTCTATGCATGGATATAACCTAAGACCCCTGCACAGATGTAGCCCATGGCAGTTCAGTATACAAGTGGGTTCCATTGTAACAGGAACAGGGACTGTCTCTGACATGAACTGATTGGCCTGCTCTTTAATTACCCCTCCCTGAGGGGGAAGCAGCATTACCAGGCCACAGAAGAAGACAATGCAGCCACTCCTGATGAGACCTAATTGTAACCCATTTTTTAATTGGGTTACTTGGTTTGTTGGTGTTTAACTTCTTGAGTTCTTTAAATATTCTGGATATTATCCTTCTGTCAGATATAGAGTTGGTGACGATCTTTTCCCATTCTGTAGACTGTTGTTTTGTTCTGATGACAGTGTCCTTTGCTTTATAGAAGCTTTTCAGTTTCATGAAGTCCCATTTATTGTTTATTGATCTTACAGCCTGTGCTGCTGGTGTTCTTGGTCAAGAAGGTGTCTCCTGTGCCACTGAGTTCAAGGCTCTTTCCCACTTTTTCTTCTAACAGGTTTAGTGTGTCTGCTTTTATACTGAGGTCTTTGATCCACTTGGAATATAGTTTCTGCAGGGTGATAAATATGGATATGTTTGCATTTTTCTACATGTAGATATCTAGTTATACCAGCACCATTTGTTGAAGATGCTATCTTTTTTCCATTGTATGGTTTTGGCGTCTTTGTAAAAAATTAGGTATCCATAGATGTGTGGGTTTATTTCTGGGTCTTCTATTTGATTACATTGATCCACCAGTCTGTTTCTGTGCCAGCACCATGCAGTTTTTATTGCTATTGCTCTATAGTACAACTTGAGATCAGAGATGGAGATACCTCCAGATCTTATTGTACAGTATTGTTTTAGCTATTAGTGTTTTTGTTTTTCCATATGAAGTTGAGCATTGTTTCAAGGTCTATAAAGAACTGTGGTGGTATTTTGATAGGAATTGCATCGAATCTGTATATTGCTTTTGGTAACATGGCCATTTTTACTATGCTGATACTACCAATCCATAAGCATGGGACATCTTTCCATCTTCTTCAATTTCTTTCTTCAGAGATTTGAATTTTTTTCATACAAGTCTTTCACTTGCTTGATTAGAGTTAGATACTTTGGGTTTTTTGTGGCTATGGTGAAGGGTGTTGTTTCTCTAATTTCTTTCTCAGCCCATTTGTATTTTGTGTACAATATGGCTACTGATTTTTTTTAAATTAATTTTATATCCTGTCATGTTGCTGAAGGTGTTTACCAGCTATAGGAGTTCCCTGGCAGAATTTTTGGGGTCACTTATGTATACTCTCATATCATCTGCAAATTTTACTTCTTTCTTTCCAGTTTGCATCCTTTTAATATCTTTTAATATCTTATTGCTCTAGCTAGGACTTCAAGTACGATATTGAAGAGATATGGAAGCATGGGCAGCCTTGTCTTGTCCCTGATTTCAGTAGAATTGATTTAAGTTTTTCTCTGTTTAGTTTTATGTTGGCTATATGCCTTTACTATGTTTAGGTATGTGTCTTGTATCTCTGATTTCTCCAAGACTTCCTTTTTGTACTTTGATAGGCATTTTCCTCTTTAGGTTAGGAAATTTTTTTTTATGATTTTGTTGAAAATATTGTCTGATTTTGAAATGAGTTCTTTTTCTCCTTCCTCTATTCCTATTATTCTTATATTTGTTTTTTTTTTTCATAGTGTCTCAGATTTCCTGGATGTTTTGTGCCAAGAATTTTTTAGATTTATCATTTTCTGTGACTGACATTTCCATTCTTTCTATTATGTCTTCAGTGTCTGATTTTTCTATTTTCCATCTCTTGTATCCTATTGGTTAATCTTGCCTCCCTGGTTCCTGTTCAAGTTCCTAAAATGTTCATTTCCAGATTTTTCTCAGTTTGGGTTTTTTTTATTGATTTTAGTTTCATTTTAGGACTTGGATGGTTTTGTCCATTTCTTTCCACTGTTTGTTTGTGTTTTCATAGATTTTTAATGGGCTTATTTGTTTCCTTTTTAAGGAGCTCTGTCATTTATAAAGACTGTTTTAAAGTCTTTTACTTGTACTTGAACTATACTGGGATATTCAGGGCCTGCTATGATAGGGTTGATGGGCTCTAGTGGAAACATATTGTTCTGCCTGTTATTGTTTGTGTTTTTATATTGACATCTAGGCAACTGAGATTGGGAAGATTATAATTCTAGGTGATAATAACTGCTCTTGTCTTTGTTAAGTAGGTATTTTTTTCCTTAGCTTCTGTTACCTCTATGGTTCTTAGGATAATGTTGTGGCTGTGTTATGCCTGTAAGAAAATCTTCTGGGGTCCTAACAGGTGTGGACACTGATGGTACCAGGTTTAAATCTGTTTCTGAGTATTGGAACCTGAGACTTGGGAATGGCAGTGGTCTGGAAAGGCTTCACAAGACAGGAAAAGCAATGTGCTCTACCAAAATCTCTTTATCTAGTCCCCTGTAAAGGGGGTCAGAGAGTGAGGAGAGATGACAGCACAATGTCTGCTAAAGAACTGGGCCTGTGACCAAAAAAATTGACTTAGAGGAAAAGAAGAGATGAACATCTGCAGCTAGTCTATTTGCTTCATTAGTCAGTGACCTGTGGGTTTCCAGGTAGTGCCTACTGGAGTTGGGGACTGGTATAAAGCAATGAGTTGAGGGAGAGAATTTAGGAGGGGAAAGTCTCTGTGGGATCCACTGAGATGCAGCAGGGGGAAAGGGAAGCTGTAGGAGGTGTTTTGTCACAGAGCTGGGAGATTAATTTGGAGGATCAGAAGGAGATCAAAGATCTTCAATTAGCCTACCTGGTCAGAATGCCCTGTGAGTACACAGGGGGTCCCCTTGGTGTTTTAATCCAACCAAGTTGACAATGGAAATCAGCCATCTGGTACAGGGAGCCATAAAATGGTATTTAAAGGGTCAGGGAGTGAGTCTGGTCTAGTTAGCCCCAGCCTTCTGGGAGACTTGGGGTCAATTCTATACTTCCATTGCAGGATAAATGGGAACAGATTGTTGGCCAAGATTCCACCTTGGAGCTCTTTCAACACATCACTTTGATGACCTTGGACACCATCATGAAGTGTGCCTTCAGCCATGAGGGCAGTGTACAGTTGGACAGGTGAGGAATATCCTTGCACTAGAGTGTCTTTGGTTTTGCCAATTAATGTGGCCTCACTAGAGAAGCAGATAGAACAGCTTAGATATTAACATCCACAAAACACAAATTCTTCCTTATGCAATGAGAAAGTCAGCCAAGCTCTAACTCTAGACCAGACCCTACCCTGCCTCAGATGTAGCATGGATTCCCAGAGAGGTGGATGCCCAAACAGTCATGCCATCTTCTAAAGACATGGTGGGTACAAGAATTATAAAACAGGCAACTCAAGTCGTAGAATTATCTCTGTCCAAATTAAGGGGATTACCACTCTGTCTCTGGGTCATATGTCCTTATCACCATTGCGTTATGTTCACAGAAAATACAAGTCCTACATCCGGGCAGTTGAGGACCTGAACAATCTCTCTTTTTATCGTGTGAGGAACTTCTTTCACCAAAATGACATCATCTACAATTTATCCTCTAATGGCCGCCAGGCTAAGAATGCCTGCCAACTCGCTCATGATCATACAGGTTTTATTTGTTTCTTTTTCTCTCTCCCGTCTTTTACCAGGGTCAGCCTAAAGAGGCTAACCATGATCTCTGAGGCAGAGCCAAGTCCTTTGGTCCTCTTAAGGATGTAATATGAACTCATGTTGGGTACTTTCCTGGTACAAGAAAGCTAAGATACAGGATGCTGAGAGGTCTGCAGTGGTAACCTGGGGCACACGTTGGTGATATTAAAGGAAATCCATCCCAGCAGCATTCGAAAAGATCTTCTCCAGTTGTTATCCCTAGGGGCAGCTTGATCTCTGTCAGGTGTGCTGGCCTCTCAAACCTCACCCAACCTTTGACCATATGCATCCTGGCCTCTAGGGGGAACAGAGGTGGGGAAAGAGGGCGCATGGGCCTCTTGGGTGTTGTACTCTCATCTCTGCCTGGTAACTACTGTCCTTGGATAGACCAAGTGATCAAATCAAGGAGGGCTCAACTTCAGGATGAGAGAGAGCTGGAGAAGGTTAAGAAGAAAAGGAAACTGGATTTCCTAGACATCCTTTTGTTTGCCAGAGTGAGTATATGAAACCTGACAAGAGGCTTGAGACTTGACCTAGAACCATAGAGTGAGGAACAAATATAATTCTCTCATCTGTGGCCTTATATAGATGGAAAATAGAAGCAGCTTGTCTGATGAGGACCTGCGTGCTGAAGTGGATACGTTCATGTTTGAAGGCCATGACACCACAGCCAGTGGTGTCTCCTGGATCTTCTATGCTTTGGCCACACACCCTGAGCACCAGCAGAGATGCAGAGAGGAAGTTCAGAGCCTCCTAGGGGATGGAACGTCTATCACCTGGTGAGTGGGAGCTCAAAATGGAAGAGATTTCTATCTTCTGGTAATGGGAAGTTCCCAGTCATCCCAGCTCTGTGTGACTTTGAGATGGGCCTCATTTCAGGGAGCACCTGGACAAGATGCCCTATACCACCATGTGCATCAAGGAGGCCCTGAGGATCTACCCACCTGTACCAGGTGTGAGCAGAGAGCTCAGCACACCTGTCATCTTCCCAGATGGGCGTTCCTTACCCAAAGGTATGAGCTCCTCCGACCAACGCAGAAGGAGCAAAGAAGAATGGGAACTCTATGTTTCTTCTGCAGTTTTGAACTGGCAAAGTCTCTAGTGACTCTCCCATTATTTACCAATAGTGACAAAGGGACTTTTTTACTTTAAGTTAGAATGTAGTGTGTGAAATGCTTTACATACAGGTGGACTTCAGGAAAAAAAAAAATCTCAGTAAATAAATGTCAACCTCTATATTGAATTTCAGCCTTTAGGCATTAGTTGTTAAATTAGTACTTGATACAAAAGAGAATTAGGTAAGTGTTGAGAAGATGTGTTTCTTTCTATGGGTGAAGGAGAAAATTCTGGGACTTCTATGTCATGGATGAAATATAATTCACTGTCTAAGGATCCTTCAAGTTGATGGAAGAGTTCAAATGTTGGCCAGATCTTAGTACCATATCATGGTAGAAAAATACCCACACAGTCACTCATTACTGGTTATGATTTCCCATTATGCCACATTGAAGCTGTGTGAACAAGAAAAGATAATCAGTCTTGAGACTCCAGAAACTCATTTGAAAAATATGTATTCAATGGTGTATTTTTGAAAGCTCCTTGTGAATGCTGAGCATGTGACAGAGGCTCATAGAAGACATTTGATGAAATAGAGTTATCACTTCACTTAACATTATAATAATGATTCTCAATTGCTTTTTGTTTTCACCCCTAGGTTCATGGTTTAGGCAACTAACCTGTGCTCAGTGCTTTACCATGCCCACCCCATTTCCCTGTGATCAAAATGTCATCATATAGATCATTTGTATGTGCATGTTCTCTGCTAAATATAGGAGCAAGTGTCCTACCCATTGGCATAACCAGTCTCTCTTTGTACTACTAACCCCACAGGTATCACAGTCGTACTCTCCTTCTATGCTCTTCATCACAACCCATCTGTCTGGCCAAATCCAGAGGTATAAGGGGCATTGGGAAAGGTCAGGGTAAGATACCTCAGAACCAATACTTTCCCTGACTCTCACTCATGGATATGTGGTCCCTTCATGAGCTGGAAGCAGAAGTTTGACTCCCACCTGCCCTGGACCTGATGTTCACACTGCAGGTGTTCGACCCTTCTCGATTTGCACCGGAGGCTTCTCGACACAGCCACTCATTCCTGCCCTTCTCAGCAGGAGCAAGGTGAGGTGTCCACTATGTATAATGAATGGAGAAAGGGATAGTCTCTGTGCACGTGTCTAGTATTTGTGATTCTCTGGGTTCCTATGAAACATCTTCAGGTGTTTGTGGGTGGAAGGCATTTTCTATGCCCCCTAAAGAGTTTGTATTTAAGGATGCAACATGGGGTTTTAGCAGACTACTCTTCCAAAAAGCCATATAAGTTTGCATCGGTGTGTGTTTCAAACTTCAATGTATATTGACACTTACGCCATTCCTAGAATATGAGTCTTTTTTTTTTTCAACTTAAGAATGGATTTATTTTGGCTTACAGTTTGAGGGGATATAGTTTGTAATGGCTGAGAAGGTATCATGACAGAAACAAGAGGCTACTGGTTTCAGTGTGTCCATGATCAGGAAGCAGAGAGCAGTGAATGGTGCTCAGTTACCTTTCTTTTTAATGCAGTCTGGAGCATCTACTGAACATAAAGCCCATAGAATGGTGCCATCCACATTTAGGCAGGTTCTTTTTTTCATACCAGTTAACCCAAAGTAGAAAGGCTCTAGCAGATATGGCCAGAGGTTTGTCTTGAAAGTGAGTCTAGAGTCTATCAATAAACACCACCAATCTGTAGCCTGTTAAGCTAGATGCTAGACTCTGGGAAGTTTTTTCCAGTAACAACAGTGGGCATTTCCTTTCTATTTGAAATTTAGACATATATTCGACTTTGTGGACAAGAACAAAAAGCAGCTGGAAGGAAAGTCACAGTGACATTAGTTTGGTCTCTCTTCTCACTGGGCGAATATGAGTCTTTATGCTTAGGTTTTCTTATCAAAACTGACTCTCAGGCATTTGTTTTCTTCATCTGTAATATATCTTGAAGGATGAATGTATGTCGCCATCATTCTCAACCCATTCCACCATTTCTGTTTATTTAACCAATCAGTCACAACAATGAGTATAAAAATATTTTCATGTCTTTAAAATTGTGTTGAAGCCATGTACGGGAAAGTTCAGAGCCCCCTGTGGTAGGGTGGGCACCAAATAAGTCTTCTTCTAACAGTTTTGGTTTCTAGGCCAACAAAATTTCTACTGCTTATTACTATATCTAGTTTCCCAATGAGCAAAATTTGGAGAGAATTTTACACTGTTGGGCTGTGGTCCACGTGGCCAGTTTTGGGAACTGGGGGGAATACATTAGGCCTAACCTATGTTTAACATGTACTACTGTGCACACCAGCAAACATTCCTCAAATAGCTGTTGAGCTCAGAAACAGTCCAGAGCTGCTGGAAAACGCGTGACAGCTGAAGGTCTCAATCCTCTTATGGAATGCAAATTGCCAAGGAAGTACTGCAAAGAAAAAAGACTTTTCTCTGTCCACAATTCTGTGACTTCTACCACGCTGAATCAATTCTCACAGAGCAGACTATATGCATATTGTTTATCAATGATAAGTTTACCTAGGGGTGAACACTTTCTCTTAGGGATAAGGTAGAAATCATGATGAGGTCATTGACAAATATGACGTACTTCAATTACTATATAGAATATTCACCCTTCATGTACTCTAATGCATTTTAATTAGGTAAATTCACATACAAAAGCATTTACTAAAGTTATTTTTTCTCTGGGCCAAGTCCTATGCTGTGACAGAAATGCAGAGACATAGGGTTCTGCCTCTAGTTCAGCATCAAGAACTACAGAATTAGCCACAGACATCACTTCTTTCTTCTTTGATACCTTCATTTATTTACTGAGAAGTTGGTAGAATGATCCACATTCCTGACTCTGTCCTCGGCCCTGGACTATGCTGTGCCCTCAAATAAAGCACCGATGGTGCCTTGAGTGTCTAAGAAAGAAACAGCATGGCAGAAGGGTGAGGGCTAGCTGCTCATTGTCCTTAGCCTTGACCCGGGGGGGGGGGGGCTTTCTCTTTAGTCTCAGCAACATTTGTTGAGATAAGAAGTAGGGCAGGACGGAGTCGAGGTGAGAGGCAACAACTCACAGGAGGTGTGGCTGCAACTCAGCCTTGTAGACCCTAGCCTATGAGTTTGGAAAGATGGAAGGGTCAACACAAAGAGAAAGAATTAGGAGGGCCAGTGAAGTGCAGACAGGAAATTGAAGGCGTCATACAGGGACAACGCTGGAATGACGTGAAAGGCCTGTGGGTGCAAGTGGAGTGAGGAGGACTAGAGCCTGATCACTGAATGGGAGGCAGATAGGCAGGAGTTTGAGGATTCCCAACTTATACGTTCTCCAGGAATTTCTCCATCAGCGTCTGACTCACATGTTAGGATCATAGTGACTTTGTCCCCAAGATAGCAATTCCTAAGAGTGTGGTCCATCAGTCTCCATTTGCCCTGACAGTTAAAATCCACACTGGTGGATTGGAAACTCCTTTATTTTATTTATTTATTTATTTATTTATTTATTTATTTATTTATTTATTTATTACAATTTATTCACTTTGTATCCCCATTGAAACCCTTCCTCGTCTCCTCCTAGTCCCACCCAGCCTCCCTTTCTCCTCTGCGTCCTTTCCCTAGTCCCCAGACAGGGGAGGACCTTCTCCCCTTCTGTCTGACCCTAGCCTATCAGGTTTCATCAAGGCTGGCAGCAGCATCTTCCTCTGTGGCCTGGCAACACTGCACCCCATTCTTAATATGGGGAGTCAACTAACCAGAGACTGTCACAGACTGGTCCTAACTGGCTGATTCCTTGCCGCTCAAAGCAAGATTAGAGTCAGTCTCAGAAAAGAAGGGTATTTGTGAAAGAGTAAGACAGCAAGAATAAAGGCCATGGTAGAGGTATGTAAAGTGTGAGGAAAGGGGTCAGGCTTAATCCCATGAAAGAGTGCCCTGAATGCCCAGGTCTATGCTAGGGCTCAAAGGGCAATGTCTACACAGCTTACAACAGAGCCCAAAGCCACTTATTACACTGTCTCTTTCTGACCCAGGAACTGCATTGGGAAACAGTTTGCCATGAACGAGCTGAAGGTGGCTGTGGCCCTGACCCTGCTCCGCTTTGAGCTGCTGCCAGATCCCACCAGGATTCCAGTCCCCACTGCAAGACTTGTGTTGAAGTCCAAGAATGGGGTCCACCTGTGTCTCAAGAAGCTCCAATAATCTTCACAGGACAAGAACAGCTCTAATGGCATGCTGCTTCCCATCTTGTCGTTCACTCACGCTTGTCCCAGTCCATCTGCTTACACCCCTTTCTTTCTGCTCACCTTGTTTACACCCACCCGCCTTCTGCTGTTCTTCCTGTCTGTCAGTCATTCTTTCTTAGTGTCTGGGATCCCTATCTGCTTTTCTGTCTACCTGCCCCTACCTGACTGCATGTCTGAACTTCCACATTAGTGATCTGACTTCCACCATGCTTGCTCTTCTGGGTATTTCTTTCCTTCTGCTGCTTGTCTATCCTTAAATAAGCTTTATACTAAAGCCATAAATAATTACAATAAAAATATGTGCCCTTATGATTCTAAATATCAGACATTTTCCATGATTTCTCTAGAATGAAGCTAAGGTAATTGCAATGCCATAATGACCCCTGGCTATTGCTTTGCTTTATTATTAAAAATTAATATTTTTTAATTATTGCCACCATGCTTTCTTTTCTTCCTTCTTCTCTCCCTCATTGAATCTTTCTTTCATAATCATTCCTCCTCTTTCACTTTCCTTCATTCATTTTTTGTTGTTGTTATTGTTCAACTAACATTTAGGAGATTAGATTTTAACATGACTTTTAAAATCTCTTTTTAATGTTATTTTTTATTTTTTAATATTAATCACAGGTTATTTACTTTGTATCCCATCTGTAGTCCCCTCCCTCATTCCCTCCCTCATCTCTTCCCTGTCTCTTTCCAAGTCCACTGCTAGAGGAGGTCATCCTCCCCTTCCATCTGACCCTAGCTTTGCTTTGCTTTTTAGTTTTACTTTTCCCATCACCTAGAGCTGCATTCCTAGTTTCAAAAGCCCTAAGTGTTAAAATCCAACACCATCTTTAAGCCTCTCTACTTCTGTCTCCAGATCATCTCTCCATCTTTCCAACGTGTATGCTTATTTTATGCCTAAGGAGCTAATTCTGGTCATGTTCACAGTTCTACCAAGATTAGGACATGCCTATCTGGAAGAGCCATTGTTCAACCAACCTAACACGGTTTGTCCCTGACTGTCACCTTATATCCATCTAAATCTCTCCTTCAAATTCTCCATCTACCAGCTTATCCTTTAAGCAAACCTCACCATCTTTTCTCCTCTGTGCAATAAAGTTCATATGGTGATATGTTGTTTCTATGCTCTTTGAAAGAGAGGGAGGGAAAGAGAGAGACCAAGAGGGAGAGAGACTTTAGGAAGCCAAGGAAGAAAATGGCATACACTCTCTGGTATTACGGATCCCTTCAGACTGGCAATATGGATGCCACAAGCTCCAGGAGGCCTCACCCATGTGATACCTGATACCTACCCTTACACAACTGTAAGGTTCCTATGTAACTAAGGTTACACAATGGGCTCTTGTGTGAGAGCTCGGGGGAGGGGGGAACACCTCTTAAGGAGAAGGATCAGGCCTCTATGCTATTAAAGGATTAATATCACTTACATTTGATTCTTACATCAAGCCAGAGCCAAGTTTCAGCTGGGCAAGAAAAGCTTTAGGTTTGGCAGGTCACATGAGCCTTGGCAGGTCACATAAGCCTTCGCAATACTAAGAAGACAGTATAGCTTAGCCGTGCCGTCTGCCAGCTTGCTTCACACGAGTGTTTGACAGTGCTTCTGAAGGCTTGGTGATGGGACAGATGCTCTGAAGGGCAAATAGGCCTTGCTAGTGGGAGATTCTAAGCAGATCTTCCCACACAGGAATCTTTGATAATCCACCACTCCCTATCTGACAGCCCTGAAAGAGAGAGGACCTTGTCAATCCTGCCCATAGCTGATTACAGCCTGAATGTTGTGGCTCATGACTCTGGGGGTTTTTGCCTACACACACCACCCATGCACTTGCACTAAGTTCCCTGGACACCAGAAGAAGAAGAAAACAGGAAACAAGTCAGGAGCCTCCCACAGAGGGCCTCTGTCTGAAAGGCTCTGCCCTGCAGACGATCAAAGGAGATGCTGAGACTTGTCTTTGCTTCTAAGGCCTTATTTGAACTCGAACTTCCTTGTAAACACAAGTTCACCCTGCTTGTACTACCTTCAGACAGGCTCTTTCTCCCAGTTCCTTGGATTTTTAGGTAGCTAGGTTAGTTCAGCTATGTTCCAAAAAAAGAATAGAAAAGGGCAGGTTGGACATCAATACTTGGTCTAAAGACTGAGGCAGGAAAGTGAGTTGAGAATGGACAGGATATTGGCAGTCACTTAGGCTCATGATGAAGCTTAACAATGGCCATGCTCAGAAGACAGCCAAGGGATCTCACCCACATTATGACTTAGACCTGTGAGTGAAAAGAGGACCTGAACTACACAAGTGTCAATAATCAAGTTCAAGATGAATGGACTAGGTGATGACCTGACATGGACCCAGCAGATGGAAGTTGAACAAGAGGGAGAAAACAATGTGTACTTTGTACAGGGTGACCTGGGCCCTATACGATATACACAAAACAACTAAAACCAGGCGGGAGAGTTAAATAACCCATGGCACAGGATAGCACATGAAATGAGAACATACGAAGTCCTGCGCTCGATAATAAAACTGTATAACCTTTGCAAAGTCAGACATGAAACTGTTTCTCCCTTTTTCTCGTTTATTTATTTTATTCACTTTTCATCCTTGTAGCCCCTTGTCTCCTCCCCTCTCAGTCTCTTCCTCCCCCTGCCTCTCTCCTCAGAAAAGGGGAGCTCCCTTTCCCATCCACCCCAGCTCATCAAGTTGCAGCAGGACTTAATGTGTTCTTTTCCCCTGTGGCCTGTCAAAGCAGTCCAGCCAGGGGAAAGTGATCAAGAAGCTAGCAAGCGAGTTCATGTCTGATGCAGTTCCCACTTCAAAGAGGATGGACATCAGAAGAAGAAAAAAACAAGAAACAACCTAGGAACCTGCCACAGAGGGCCTCTGAAAGTCTCTGCCCTGCAGACTATCAAAGCAGATGCTGAGACTTATGGCCAACTGTTGGGCAGAGTGCATGGAATCTTATGTAAGAAGTGGGAAATAGTAAGATCTGGAGAGGACAGGAACCCGACAAGGAGAGCAACAGAACTAGAAAATTTGAACACAGGGGTCTTCCCAGAGACTCATACTCCAACCAAGTACCAGGCATGGAGATATCCTAGAACCCCTGCACAGGTGTAGTCCATGGCAGTTTAGTGTCTAAGTGGGTTACATAGTAATGGGAAGAGGGACTGCCTCTGACATAATCTGATTGGCCTGCTCTTTGATCACCTCCCCCTGTGTGGAGAGCAGCCTTACCAGGCCACAGAAGATGACAATGCAGCCACTCCTCATGTGATCTGATAGAGTAAGATCAGAAGGAAGGAGAGGAGGACCTCCCCTATCAGTGGACTTGGGGAGGAGCATGTGTGAAAAAGGGGGAGGTAGGGTGGGACAGGGAGGGGCTTATGGGGGGGATACAAAGTGAGTAAAGTGTAATTAATTAAAAAAAAAGTAAATATAGTAAGGTTGTAGGATACAAAATAAACCCAGAAATAAAACAATATTTTATACATCAATAACAAACTTCTTGAAATAATAAAAAGTATTCCTACCCACAATATTTACAAAAATAAGATTTATAAGAATAAATTTATCTGAGGAAGCAAATGATATACACAGTGAACATTATCAAACACTGACTTAAGAAGGTGAGGAAATAAAAAAAATTTTAAAGACAGACACACATTTCTGAGCTGGAAGAATTAATATCATTAAACCATCTGTACTACCCAAAGTATTCTACATAGTCAATGCAACCCCGGGAAATTATCAATAATATTCTGTACAGAAAGTCTTTTAAAGCACTCTGGAAACTATATAAACTATAGAAAGTCCAAGTAGCCAGAGAACCTTGAACAAAAAGAACAAAGTTGGAAATAACTAACATTAAATCACACCGCAATGACCGCAATAAGGAGAAAAACATAACAAGGGATCTATTATGTAGACAAATGGAACAGAACCTAGAACCCAGAACCCAGGAGCAAAGCCACACATTTACAATCAAACGAGTTTTTACAACAGGCAATAGGAATATACTGACAGCATTAATATATATTGATATAATGAATATATTGGAAAATGGAAAATCTTTCCAACAAATGGGCTGGGGGAGGCTGATGTTTAACTAAACTTATATGTTTCAACATGTAAAACTAACTCAAAATGGAACAAACTATGAAACAACCACAACAGAATATAGGAAAGAGACTTTGGAACACTGGGATGGAGAGAACATTTGGGACAGTCTCTAAAAACACAGTCAAGAAATGTTAAACTAGACTAAATTGAATTATATCTAACTAAAATAGCTTCTGTGTCACAGAGGAAACAGTCCGTTGAACAAAGGAGAGCCCTGTTATGGCTATTCATCCAACACATTTATCAGAAAATGCAGGAAACCCAGAAGCAAAGACCACCACCACCAACAACAAAAAATCTGATTTTAAAACAGACCCAAATTTGAAATTCCTCAAAGATGTACAAAGAAAAACAGGTGTGTGAAAAATGTTCAACAACATTAATTATTAAGGGAATGCAAGTAACAATCAAAATTGGGTATTATCTCATCGCAATTTAAATAATTTATAATCAAAAGGAAAAATTAAATCTGAGCAAAACTGCAGAGAACATTCATATAATGGTGTAGGTGTGTCAGCATAGTCATTGTGTAACAAAGAGTTGAATCAAAAACCGTACATAGAGGCTAGTGGCATAATTTTTTATAAAGTGTTTTCCAGTCCTTGGGAGGCCTTGGTTTCTATCTACCACATTTCTGAAAGAGAGAGGAAAGAAAAGAAACTAGAAAGATCTATGGCACGATCCAGCAATCATTTTATATTCTTTTAATTTTATTTATTAGTTAATACAATTTATCCAATTTGTATCCCGGCTGTGGTCTCCACCCTCATCTCCTCCCAGTCCCACCCTACCTCTGTCTCCTCCCCCTCTGCTCCTCCCCTAGCCCACTGATAGG